AAATGGAGAGTACCTACTCTAGGGTGGACAAGTTGGTCAGATCTAGAATAAATCTTCATTACCTACGATTTTCGCGGTAAAATCGACGGGAACCGAAGAATATCGGTCGACATCTTGCCATCAGGCATTCACACCTTGGCATCACGAGGAGAACTTTTGCTTTCAGAGCAATTCCTCTATTCAATTAAAAAAAAAAGGCCGAACAACATCTAAGGTATGTAATATCAAAAATCACATTAAAATATCAAACTAATTATTCCATCTTCAATGTCGGCTCAATTCTTGGTCTTGCGCCCCCACGTGGCTGATAAGTTGTAATTCTCAGGCCTTCTAGTACCTCTCTGAGATTCGAGAACATTCGATACCATACACCATACAATAAGAGAATTCGATTCATAAGTAGTTCTGAAGAGGAGGCAACATTCACCTGAACCCTTCTCCATTTCACGTCGAGAGAGCACATTCGTGGCCCCCATTACACCTTTGGTACTCCAACAGGCTTTAACGACATCGAGGCCACCCTGAAGTCTCGACTGCTGCACTCCAGGTATCATAGGGGTCTCAAAGGTACCTCGCACTACCAGTACCACCAGGTAACCTTAAATATAAGATTAGGACCTCGCCCAGCGGCACATCAGGTCCCAACAGTGGCAGTTAACGTTCCTGAGGTTGGTCACCCATCAGGCACTACAACTTCGCCACAATATTATTTTTATGAAAACTAGAAAGCTCGTCGTATACTGTACAAATTCGTGTGATGCCTATATTTGTTATTTCCTTTATAATCGTTGGTATTTGTATTGGTTTATACCTCTGCCTCCACTACCTCCTTGTACCTACACCTTGGATGATGAACCTGTGAACTTCCAGTAGCGCTACTGAGGGGCCCGATATCACTAGTAGAAATACAATTGTCAGGTGATAGGACAGGTAAACTTATACATATATACCTTGTTTGTTTTTCAAGTCCTTATTGTTTATTTTTGCCATTGATTTTTATACATTCATGCATTCACTATAATCTGCACATTTATAGGTGGTATATTGGTATATACACTGGTTGATATTTCCAAATGTCAAGTATTCCACACAAGATAATGCTGTGTTGATTATTTAGTTTGATAATACGTCGAGTATCAAGTAGTAGGCAGGACCATTACTTTGGTGAACTAAAATTTTGTGATAATTGTGTCTTATGCCAGTTGCATTAGTACTGATGAACCAAGATTTTGTGATAATATTCTGGTAATTCACTGATTAGTTACTAGATAGTTGTTAAAATGAGATAATAAAATGAGATATTAATCTTGTGATAATATTTCATCAGTGAAACGGTTAGTTAATATCAGTTATTTATTTCTTATATAGTAGGGTCTCTTGATGGACTAACATTTTGTGATAATAAGGATAAGGAATCAATCTTTGCAGTTTAGTACACAAATTATTATTAAAGATTCATCTTAATTACTAGGTGCCTTGTACTATTAATTACTTATATATTATATGTTTACTATTATTTCATATTCCCATAATATATTTGTCATATGATACACCAGCTAGTATCATTTCATGCGAGTTTGTCCTACCAAGGTTTACTATACAGGGTGAGCATTCCACTCCCAATCTACACTGAGCTAGCCAACATCTAAACCTATAGGTATAACTTATGACAAATTTGGCATGAGTCACCCCGAATCGCCACAGATTTCAATCTGAACGTGGCAAACTGGCGCCCTAACGTGTTTTGGCATCGTGTGAGTGATTTGGTAGTATATAGGTACTTTATTTTTGTGTTGGATATAGATACTTGGAGATATCAACCATATTATTTTTTTGTCCAAATTGTACCTTGGTGCAGCGGTCCAGTAGGTGCTTACAGAATCCCTGAATAGTTGATAAATCATAAGGCAACATTATTTTTGGTATGTTCCTGTAGTCCTGTGATATTTTTTTACTGAAACAGGTATTGTGGTATCATTGAAAGTTTACCAAATTGATTTTCCTTTTGTAATTGATTTTATTATTCCAGCCATAAACATTTATATTTTTCCTCACATCTGAAAACTCATTTTTCATGAAAACATACCATACTTGAAATACAGGGTGACACATTTTTTTTATATGGTATAGTATACAGGGTGTCACAAACTTATACCGGTAAATATATGTTCGTGGGTTTGATCATTTAGACCTGACACAGGGTTGACTGTATGAAAGTGTTTGGTGAAATCAAAATAAGCTACAGGGTGGCACTTGTACAACTTTTTTTTTACTTTTTCACTAATTATCATTAGTCTATAGGAATATAAATTTTTCTGGACGCATGTTTTAGAAAAAGAAAAAAAAATATTTTTTTTAGCTGAAAGGCTTTCTTGAAGTATAAGCATTTAAAAAAAAAGACATTTGTCTCTGATATAGGATTGCTTGCAGGATTGGAGGAACATAGTGGAAACCAATTTCAATTGTTTTTTTGTCATTTTATGATTTCATATACAGGGTGGACACAATTTGGAAGGTGTACACTATATACAGGGTGGACCGTATGTACAGGGTGGTCTCGATTGTTGTTGTGGTTGGGTACAGCACGCGTTTTCCACCTTGAGACCGGATTCTTTTTTTTTGAAAAAAAAATTTTTGTGAGGGGGGTGTGCACTTCGTGCAACTTCTTCAGTAATTCTTTTTCTCCTCCCTCGATATTTTTTTTTGTATATTGCTCGTTCCCTTGAGTCCAAGGCTAGACATAGACGTCCTCAAACTCAGAAAAATAAATCCATTTCGAATTTGAAATTGAGCACTTGATTATCATTGTTATATTGAAAGACATGGCGGAACATAATTTGACTCTCGACGTTAATAGGGACGATTTATTGAGTAGATGTGCTGAATTAGCTGAAGTTCTGAATTCTACACTCTCGAACTATGGCTACTATTCTGGTACTCCCCAACGTACTCTTGTTAGAAACGCAAACAACGACCAAATCGGTCAAAATTGTAGTAGACAGTATGACCCTGCTTCTTCATCAAACCTCATGGATGAGCCCATCCCACACATAGCATATCAACCTACAATTTCACCTCATAATGTCGCAACTTCTATCCATACGGCCGACTTGATTGACTTATTAGAAGTACCAAGCCAACCGACTCAGGCTTATTCAGGAGAAACTCGTTTTGATAAAAATTATTGTCCTCCAAACCAGAACTTACCGCGCGAGAACTTGAACTTTTCGAATGGGTCAAGACCCACCCATCACACTGAGGAAGCTTACCCTCGGGTTCCTTACCCCTCAACATCAGGGCCTACTGCAAGTACTCGTCTTCGATTCAACGATGTTAACGAACCCAATACGTCGGAACCACGAATGAATGACTTAGCTCGACTCGTGGACTTGAGTTCTAATTTAGCGCGTGAATTACAAAATCTCAAACTCTCCTCAGCTGGACAAGCAAATCTCCAGAATAATTTTGATCCGATTGATCCGAAAAATATTTCCAAAATGGAAGATGTCAGCAAATGGAACTTGAACTTTAATGGAAGATCGAGTCTGATTAACTTTCTCGAGCAGGTTGAAGAACGTCGCGTATCACGTGGTATCTCGAAAGATAGTTTTCATAAAGCAGCATCCGAGCTATTTTCTGGCGACGCGTTGATTTGGTATCGTGCGGTTCGCCATTCAATATTTTCGTGGAGTGAGCTGGTTAGGCAACTCAAATTAAATTTTTTGCCCTATGATTACGAGAGTTCTATTTGGGACGAAATTCGAAGGCGGACTCAAGGTCAATTCGAGAAAGTCGTGGTTTATTTTGCTTCAATGGAAAATCTATTCAATCGTTTAACGGAAAAGTGTAGTGAGGAAAAACGTCTTAGTATGATCCGTCGGAATCTACTTCCCCATATTCAGGAAAAATTGGCATTACAGTCTATATCGAGTATAGATGAACTGGTTAGGTTAGTTCGAATAATCGAAGAAGTCGAAAGTCGTTCACAGCAATATTGCCCTCCCCCAACCAATTATAGGAATTTGTTGGAACCTCAATTAGCATACCATAAACCAAGCTCTGCGCCAAAGG